GTATATACGAGAGAGAGAGAGAGAGAGAGAGAGAGAGGGATTAAGAGTCATCACCACCAGAAGTGGCAGCAGCTCTTTGCACTGCCAAATCGACAGTCAATCTCTTCTTCTGTCTCTCTCTAGCCTTGTGATTTTGAAACCAATAAAACACATTCTTCCCCTCAATCTTTCCATATTGCCTCAGCCTAGCTGATATCCTCTGTATTTGCTCAGCCGTCGGAGACCTAACTCCATTACTGTAATATAATTCCCTCAAAATCCTTATTTGTTCAGCGGTCGGAATCCACCTACTATTCGATTGCCTGCACATATATCCACTCTTAGTCCCACTTCCACTTCCACTTCCACTATTGTTGTTGTTTCCAGGGCAATTATCAGAGTGATCCATGGGCTAGAGAGAGAGTTCTGATTTTGAGCTGATTCTAGAGAGAGAAAGAGGGATTGAAGTGATGCTAATGAACTAATGATAAAGTGGGGTAGTGAAAATAGGAATGATTCTAGAGAGATGGACTGAAACTGAGGAGAATTCTGGAGACGGATAAACAAAAAATGAGAACGATTCTAGAGAGACTGAAAGGGTGAATGATTCTAAAGGGTTGGTCTGAATGTCTGAAAGAATTAATGATTCTAGATAGAGAGAAAAAGATATAGCGAGAGTGAGAGAGAATGGGGAACTGAGAGTGGAGTTAACAGCAAGTGGGTTGTGGATTTACATGGAAGAAAGGAATGGGTTTCTTGAGAGAGAGGATTTGGTATTTGAAGAGGCTGGTGGGGTTTTTTTTTTTTGTTTTTTTGTTTTTTTTGAATGTTTTTGGTGTCTTAATGGTTTTAAAAGTGTGGTTGGTTCACATGGAGAGAGAGAGAGAGAGGAGAGGAGAAGAGATATGGTGATATCTGGGTGAAATGGACTGAGAGTGCTGGAAAGATGCAAGGGACAAAAGAGAGGGTGGAAAGGTAGGGTTGGCAGGGTGCTGGAATGGAATGGAATGGAACGGGGGCGTGGAGTGGGTTTGCTTGAAAAGAAAGGCACCCCTTGTTATGATTGCATGCAGAGAGGTAGAGAGAGAAACAAGTTCTAGAGAGAGATACAGTGAGAGTAGCTAGAAAGAGAATTAAGAGAGAGAAAGTGGATGGAAGAGAGAGGGCCCCAAGCTAGAGAGAGATTGGAGAGACAAAATAAAAAAGAATAGAGAGAGGAGAGAGAGTGAAGACAAGATGAGGAGAGAGAAATTGCAGAAAAAACGGTCTTAAGAAAGGTCGAGAGAAAAGAGCACGCAGATTCAACTACTATCTGGTTGGTAGAGAGAGAAAGTTGATACATTTCTAGAGAGAGAAAGTAGAGAGAGAGAGAGGGGGTTGATGGGAGAAATGAAAGGAAAGGAATGACCCACACTTCTCTCTCAAGGCAGTGCCCACCTTGAATGAATGAATGAATTGGGGGATTGAGATTTAGACAGAAGCCTATGTGGTGCTGCCGAAAGGTCGAATGACTATACTGCCCTAAAGAGAGAGAAAATCAGCTAAATTGTCCTTTAAGATAGTGTTCGTTTGGTTAATTACCAGCAATAATGACCAGAGACCCATAAATTTCTATTAACCCTAACTCAAAGAAGAGATACCCGCGGAAAGCGAGTGCAGAAAGAGGGACTAGAGTATTACTAGAGAGAGAATGGGTACGTAATGCCACCAAAGAGAGAGAAAGTACAATAAACTTGAATAGAGAGGGAGAGAACAAACTGCGTTACTTTGCCCTTCTAAGAAAGCCAACGGAGAAGAAATCAAGAAACACACCGATCAAAAGACCATACTATCCTTCCAAACAAGAGCTAGGAGAAACTCTCGGAGAGACTCATTGCTTGGTTGGAAGTAGGCCGGGTAGAACACATAATTAAAACTGAACAGACGAAATGGAGTTATATAATGAGTTTTAAGGGTAACTAAAATTTCACCAATGGCAAGTTACAGTGGTGATACTAACTTTGTTTTATTAGGTGGATAAAAAATAATATACTTATAGATAATAGTAAAGGAAATGAAGATGTTGAAATGGATGAGTTGCATGATAAGAAAGGATATAATTCGAAATAAATCTTTACAAAAGAATTCAGACGTGACACCAACAAGCAATAAAATGAAAAAAAATAGATTAAGTGAGCTGACTATATATAGCACTAACCAATTATAATAGTTATTAGGATGTACGAGTTAATTTAAATATAAAGACTGAAAAAAGTAAAGAGTAAATCCAAAATTTATGTAACCGATTCTGATTATTTAAAAAAGAATTAAATCGATGATAATGATGAAAGCAAGCCGGATAGCTCAGTTTTAAAAAACTAGAGTAAGGGCGTGGCTCGAAAATTGGGCGTGAGCAAACCCTTAGGTAAATAGGACAATGAGGGGAGGATTCATAAAGCAAATTGAAGATATTACCTGGATTTCGAGAGAGAAAAAGATAACATTAGCTAGTATTTAGTACCAAAGGTAAGTACTGTCGTGCCAAAGATATAAAGCATACCTATACAACGCCCGGAAAATGCGGGGTGGTTTAAGGTCATTTCATAAAATCCAGAGGCTATTCTGGTCATAATGAGAGAAAATACCGGAATGTTTTGGTGGTCCTCTTCCCAAGGGTGAAAAAACAATTTAAAAAGAATGGTACGGTAACGAGAATCCCAAGAAATATTTGGTGTCATTGAATTGAATTAGGGTGAGAGCCTAGTTCCTTGTGCATTGTCATGATAATACACATATCATCATACACCTCATCATTTACAAACTCTCCTACTTATACATACACCACCACCATATGATAGGGCAGGGCATCAACCATAAATGAATCATTCTCGTCCCACTTAGATTTCACCAGAGTTGGTCTACTTCACATCAAAATTTCGGCCCAAAATCTAGTGGAATGGTTTTATGGGTCGGAACGTGCGGGCCATCTCAAGCGGCCCGGCCTTGGGGTACGTACATTTTTTCTAATTACTGTCCGACCCGAGAGATTTTTTTTTTTTCCTCATAAATTAGAATGATGTAGGGGTGGGGATCCTTGGATATCCTTTAGGAATTAATTGGCAATTATTTCTAGGTCTTATTTGGGGCATTGAACATTCTCATGCCAAATGATTTCCTACTCACACTGGTGGATACTATCTATTTCCTCCCTCTAGAAAAGCACAAGAATATCTTTTTTATCTCAAAATTTTTGGGCGTAACTTCTTATTTATTTTTAGATAGTGGGGAGAATGCGCTTTACTCATTTTTATTAATAAAAGTTAAAAAAATATAAAAGATAAGTCGGTAGGGATTTAGACCTCTACTCTTTTGGTGAGAATGAAATAAGAGACTTTATCATAGAGCTCAACAATACTACCGCCAAGCTCCTGCCTATTCTCCAAAGGGTATGTTAATATGGGGCCGCCCTAATCAGGGATGTATCCTTTACAACCACTATAATAATATTGTAAAAATTTGAAATAATTTTTTTATGTACTAGAAAGAACTTATGCCTTAAGATTGAATAGAGACCATCCAATTTTTTAAGGACCAAATCTAAATGTCATAAAATTTAAAATTTCAAATATATTTTTTAAAATAATTATTATGCATTTCTCAAAATTTTGGGCCAAACAAATTCTCCGAAGTAGGTATTTTGTGCAGGGGGCGGAGATACATTGTATATGCTCCCGCGGGAGCATAGTATATGCGAGCATGCCCAGGTGGCTCGTACATATTAAATGGGTGTTCGCCGAATATTTTGAAGCATTTGGTTGTGAGTAAATGGATCGAGTCATAGAAGTAGGGCTGCCCTACGTTTTGTCTGTTTTCTCCGAGTTTTGGTGGACAGTCCTTATGCGCTTTCCTTCTCACACCCGGACACTCGATCTCCCTCGGGGTGGCGACTGGTCGGATCGTGCTGGGTCCGGCTGAGGCCCAATGACTCAGATTTGGATTTGAAAATATAATGTGGGACCCAAATCCAACTGATTAGACCTCCGATCTAAAAATTAAAATATAAATATTTAATATATTTAATTATTTTTATAAATTAAAACTCAAATATATTTGGGACCCAACTTAAACCAGTACTAAAATAATATTCACGTCCAAAATTTGAAACCAGATACAATTTTTTAACCCATACCAAACATAGGTAAAGTCTACCCTTCAGGTCCCCGGTTGGGTCCGGGTCCATTGCCACCCCTATCCCCCCTCTCTCTTTCTAGCCTACCATTCTCATTTTACGCATCCTCTCTCTCTCTCTCTTATTTTCTACCTTTCACATGTCTCCCATAAAAGCCCAGACTGCGTGCTACGTTTCTCAGAATCTGAATCTCAGGCTTTCTCAATCGAGGT